ATATACGAAAAATATATACATATGTACAATATGTAGGTAAATATGTATGTACATACATACATATATAATACTGAAAAACAGGTCTCGAGATATCCGAGAGGCCTCTTGAGTCTTGAGTCGCCGTCGTCTGGGGCCTGCAATTTTTGTACGTCCTTTTTTGGCCGAGTGCGTGCCTGTCTGTGGTGTGTATGTGTGTGTGAGATGCATTTTGGGACGAGATACATTCCAGAGATACTCGAGATAAATGCACATGCATCTGTGTGTGAGTCTGTCTGTCTGTCGTCAATGCCAATGCTACTCCTCCTCCTTCCACCTCCTCCTCCCTTCTTTTTTGTTGCTTTTGTTGCGGTTTGGCTACATCTTCTTGGTCTTGCAATTAGTTGGAACGAACGAACTCCAAGTGCCGCAAAAAAAGTAGAAAAAATAAAAACAGGAAAGTCGATCGTCGTCTCAGACTTCGCCTTCGACTCCGACTCTGAGGTCGGTCTTCATTCGGTCTCCTCCTGTGCCTGCGTATGTTTGTATGTACATATGTATGTCTGCATCTGTAGAGCGCCGCCAGGGCAACGGCGTGTGAAAGTAAAGTAGAGACGATCCAGAGCCACAAAGTCAGACAGAGAGAGAGAGAGAGTGAGGTGGAGTCCAGTGTACTGGAAAGAGAGCGACAGAATCAAAGTTCTTCAATGGACCTGGACCTGGGACCCAGCGCCGTTCCAGTTCCTGGAATCGACGGCCTTGAAGTAGCCGTTAGGACAACGAGACGCGCTCAATTGATTATTTAGTTTATATTTAGCAGCGTCTAAAAGGATGCCCATTGCCGGCTCAAGTGGCCAGCGCGTCCTGTCGCCCCTACACTCCTCCTCCCCCAATCCCTTGAACTATCCTTTGTTTGTCTGGGAATAACTGGAAACTGTTTATCATTGTTGATTCTTCCCTCTCGTACGGCTTCTCCTCTTCTGATTCCTCTCTCCAGCTTCGATTTCGTCTGATGCAGCTCCTCCGAAGCGACAAAAATGCGGCATAAATTTCGATAAGTTCAGCAACAACAACAACAAAATTTATAGACAATGAGAAATGCCTATGGCCCTCCATATAGGAGGTACGTCGTACGTACTCACAACTCATCGTTGGATTCCATTCCTTCTGGAGAAGGAGGAGGCTGAATGGATGGATATTATAGTCCGTGTAATATTTGTGAAACATTCCGCACTTGTAATTGAGAAATATTTTTGGTATTTTACCAGGAATTCGGGTTAATATGGGCACAGGTGATATCTATAGGGAGGGATGGATGGATGTGTGCATGTCTGATGAGAAAATATAACAAATGATATTCTGCTTTTTTGCCTTTCTTGTTTTAAGTAATTCCTTTGATTGGATGCCGCTCCGCTCAGCTCTGCTGGAAGGAGTAGGTGGGAAGCACTTGAGTGGAGAAAGTGTTGGATAACCTTCAAAAAGAGGCAAAGGTGTTGAAGAGCACTTACGAATGGCATTTGATGAGTAAATAAAGAGGAGGCAGGAGAACCCTAACACAGTGACCTAGTCTTAAAAGGATTCTGAGAGGATTCCTGGAAGTATCTAAAGGGCACTTTTCTTTTAAAGGGGCAAAAGCTTAAGTTTATATCCTCCTCCTTCTTTGTGAGAATGATACTGGAATTCCACCCTCTATTATCAGCCGAAGCTCCTGCATTCCCTTGCGGGATTGAGTCAGCTACAAAAGCAAAATTCCAGTCTGATCATGACATAATCCAAACGTGGAATCTTCGGACGATAGATAGACACCATCTAGAGAGCTCTTATGTATACAGAAATCCACCCCATCGACAAGTGCCGCCTGCCTTGCCCCCAGCCCCACCCACAACCCCACATTGAACAAGTTTCAAAGAGCAAAATGCTAAAAAGCAAACACGCAAAAAGCTTTGCTGGCAAAAAAAAAACATCCAAAACAGGGAATGCAAAAAAGCGCGCAAAAAGAAAGAGAAGAAAGTCGAACAGCAGAAACAACAGCAAAGTAAAGATATTGTAGCAGGTAAGTGGAGAGGATGAGCGTAGATGAGAGCAGAGCAGAGGGGGAAGAAGCAATATAGCAAAGCAGACATAAATATCAATGAACTCCATTCTGGACAGCACTCGCTCCCTCTCGGCCATTCTCTTTCTCTCGTGTGTACATAGAGTTACTACCAAAGATACATGTTTTTTTTTTTGCGCCACTTTTGACATAATTCTTTGTCTTGTGTTTGCCTCTGTGCTCTCTACTGCTTATTCTACCGATTCTCGGTCTTCTCCCTTTTCTACTGCTTCTCCTTGTACGCTTTATTACTCATTCTTCTGACTTGCTTTGCCTGCTCTGCTGCTTCGTTTTCGTCAAGTTTTCAACTTTTCCCTCCAGCGCAGTCGGCGTCGCTGTCCGCTTCGCTGCCGCCGATCTGCAGCGCCTCTGCCCGCATCGACAGCGCTCGCCAACTCGTTGTTCTGATTGGAATGAATAAAACGGAAGAGCGCGTTTCGTGGTGTGCGTGTGTGTGCAGGGAGAAGAGAGCATAGCAACGACACTCTCTCTCTCAGTGGGAGCGCATTTCTAGAGGCGTCTGTGTGTATGGGTGTGTGAGAGTGGGGGGCAGGGAAGCGCCAAAGAATGGAGAAATACAAAGTGGCGCGAATTAGGCGTTTGGCTGGCGCACTTTTGTTTTTAGCGCCCAAAATCTATGCGAATGGCGGGAAAAAGTGCAATTCGAGCGGGAACTCCAAGAGAGAGATTAGAAAGGGGGGACGTCGCATAATTTGTGAAAGGCGATGATCCAGCGCTGTGGAGTGGCGCCCGCAGCATCTGCAGGTAATTGTGTCCTGGCCAAGTGCAGCAGCAGTTCACTGAACTGGATTCCCAGATGGCCGACAAATCCAAATTCCTTAGGCAATGCATAAGGAGGATAAGGGCCGCAGACTCCATTGAGAGTACCAATTGCATTACACACAAACACACACGCACATTCACATGCATTCTAGGGAGTTCCAATTGGCATACATAAGACTTATATGACGGCAGCGGCACCTTTTTAATGGCTCGAAGACACTTGACACTTTTCATTCGTTTAATTTCTCTTTAGATACTATTTAAAATTCTGCAACATTTCTCCCACACGACAATATGTGTCGGCTGCTCAATTTCTAATATCACATTTTTCGGCACTTTTGACTTTTTGATTTGTTGTATTTGTAGCAGAAAAAAATGCAAAGACACGACGACAGCCGCCGCCGCACATACACCGCTATCCCTCCCACCCTCCGTTCAACAGCACACACACGTTTGTCGGATCTTTACCGATTCTGTCCCCCCCCCAACCACACACACTTGTCACACACGCACACTCGCACACGCGTCATATATTTTATTCGAACTTTTTTCTTTCGCTTTTTGCACCACTTTATCGAGGAAATTGTGCAATATTTTTACCTTCTCCGGATGGGGCAGTCGCTACGGCAGTTGGGGAAAACGGTTTCAGGAGTTTTCCCAAGGAAATTGGCATTTGAAAAGGGTTTTCTGATGTGCGCACTCGAGAATTGAAAATTTTCTACGTCGTCGTCGTCACGCCGGCCACAGTGTGATCAGGCAGGCACCCGAATTGGTGGAACGGCTACACTACAGCGACGGCAGCGACTCAGAGAGAGAGAGAGAGCACGGCAGCGGCAGCGCAGGCGACTGCGACTACGGCGAGTGTGCAAGAGGAACGCGCCAAAACAAGCTGATCCGAAGCGCCAAAAAATGCAACAACCACACGGCGCAAGAGCTTGTTGTTGCTGGTGGCTCAACTGACATTTGGAAGAGAGCCAGAGAGAAAGAGAGAATCTCCCGCGCGAAGCAGCCGCACAAAGGAATGTGACTATGGCTGAGACAGAGAAAGAGAGACAAGACTCCACTCCGCTGGTGGCAGCATTTTATTGAATGGAAGGGAATTGGAGAAGCTGGAAATGGATGCCAGTTGCCAGGGGCAGAAAGGGGGCCGAGGCAGGCCTGTTTCAGGTCTTCACATGAAAGTGTGCGTGTGTGTCTCGCCTCTCTCTCACTATCGGTATGTGGCAATCAGCTGGGAGTCCAGAACAGCTGAGTGGGATGCCAGCAAGTCCAAAAAAGGACGGATATTTGAACAAATTAAAAAATTTTACTTCATTTATAATGGTTTTTCCAAATAAAAAGGGTCCGTTTAGTAGTGTATTTAACAAAAAATTATTACAAAAATTTTTCTGCGACAATAATTCTTTAAAATCATAAGAAAAACATATGAGAATCAAATGATTTCAACGCTCATCTGTAAAAATATTAAATTTCTTTGAAAATAACCAAAAAAATCTACTAATATAAACGAAATCGATCGATTTTATTTAATGTTTAGAAACATCATTCATATTAACGACCCACTCAACCCATTTCTCAACTGGGTGGCAACGCCAATTGAGATCCAAACAAACCGCAGCGACTTTGTTGTTGTCATCGATTACCATTTCATCGTTTTTGGCACCAACTTTGAGACCCGTTTACGCACCCGATTTGAATGGAACCACCCACTTTGTTAATTGCATTCGAAGGGGGAAAACATGCAGAATCAGATTCTTTAAAAATAGTCAAAATCATTGCAAAATTAGGAAAAATAACAACAATCAAAGTTGGCGATTTCCCGCGCGCGGGAACGCGACGTCGCCTCGCCGCTGCTGACAGCACTGACAGCTGAGAGGAGTCTCTTTCAGAGTGAGAGAGAGAGAGAGCGGCGAACGACGTTGGCAGAGGCACAAGAAAAAAGTCAAAAACGTGAGCAGCGACGTCGACGTTTTTTTTCCGTAGAAAAATGTTAAAAGCAACGGAATCTTGTAGGAGATGGAATTGCGAAAAAGAGAGCAGAACTGAGGCCGAACTGAAGTTTGGGGTCATATTGGGGCTTGGGTATTGCACCTGCGGCGACTCGGTGCGGTTCGGCTGCCAGGTGGCAGAGCAGATCACAAGCACTCACCTGTTCCTACGACTGGAAAGACGTGATCTGGTCCGTTGGTCTGGTCTAATGCTGCACTGGGGGCTTGCGGCTTCTCTTGTCCCGGGGCTGGGCCACGCGTTCCGTTCCGTTCCTCGGGGGCACACACAAAACACACGCGGATTGAATGTTGAAAAAATTGCACACACCGCCACAGAAACACACATACAACACACGCACAGCAGCAGCACACCAGCGGCGAGCCAGCAAGACAGATTCCTTGACGTGTTGATTTTCCTCAACTTTATCCAAGATTCGCCAAGATTCGCTGCGGTAAAACAACGTAAATTGTTTACAATTCTCAATTTTAAAAAACCTCGCAGCCTAGTGTTGTCAAGCCAAAGAGGGCACTATCGATAGTATCGATATTTTGCTGCTAGCCTCTACTATCGATGGTTTTGAGACTATCATGATAGTATCGAGCTACAGTCGTTGCGCTTTTGATATGTTTGGATTGGCTGCTATAAAATACGAAGACAAATTTGTAAACAAATCGACAGGTGGCATCTAATTTTTACAATGGACAAGTTCCTAAAAGGTTTCAATGGTTTTTTAATAATTATTTGAGCCCGATACTATCACGATAGTATCGATTGTTTTTTCAAAACATTCGACGTTGATATTCCTCGATTTTGATATTCCGTTTAATATTACTAGCTAGCTGCTACTCTCAGCCCTAGAAAAATAATTTTTGCACGCGCGAATTTAAATACGGGGCAACTATTTTCCTTGCACTTTTTTGTTAACTTAATGTATTTACTCGTTTTATATGTAATACTTAATTATTTCTTTATTTAAAATATGCTTACACTTTACGTTTCCCTCCCTGTTAACGGAGTGGACAGTGTTACCCTGCGGGGAATTTGCGAGCGCGCACAATTCAAATTCGCGAATATGTTTGGTGTTTGAATTTTGTCTGAAGCAGCATATTTTATGTAATGCCAAGCATTTTGAATGCCATCTTTGTGTTTGTTCCACTTAAATTTGATTAGTTGTTACTTTTGTTTTGCATTTTCTTCTAGTTTTTGCCGCACCTGGCTGCCAGCTCGCGCTCGAAAACTCAACTAAAGGAAAACAGCCAAGAGCCAAGCTCCAACTTAATCAGCACAGCTGCATTCTGCTTCAGCAGCGTTTTTTTTAGGTAATGCCAACAAAGAAAACCCCCAACGCAGCAGAAAAACGTCTTTCGCAGCACCGCACAGCCGCAATGACAAAACTCTTCCACTCCCTCTCTCACATTTTGTTTCCATGTTTATTGCGATATTTTGTTTTGCTATCATTAATTTACGTTTCAAACCTAGAAAAGAGCTCGCTCTCCAGCTTACAACGGCGACTGCTTGAAGCCGCGAGCCGCATAGTCGGCGGGCGCCGAGCGGTCCGACACACGGGGATAGCCCTCGTCGCCGGGAACGCAGGACTTGCGCGATGAAATCACACGCCAGCCCCCCTTGCGGGTCCAATCCTGCAAGGAAATGGTAACAAATGTCAAATGTGAGAGGTTTTGTGGAATCCAATCATTGCTGAGGAAGCTTGAAGCTAGCCCAATAGCTGAGAGCACGAGACGATAGTTTTAGAAGCACTGGACAAACGGTATTCTGCCCCTTGGGACAAGCAAAAATTGATATCTGTATACTTTAGAGCACAAAATCCATCCATAGGTCAGCCAGGACCCAGACCCACCTCCACTAATCAGGGGTTGGGGCGGCAATTCTCCCGCGGAATACTCACATTCTGATTGTACTTGAAGTAGTAGGCGGCGGCATAGATGCCCGTGACTGCCAGCAGAGCCTTGCCAGTCCAGAAGCGTATCGTGTAGGCGCGCTGGAAGCCCTAAAAGCAGAACAGGAATCAGTTAAAGACTCACAAAAACAGGAGAAAATGCGTCGATTTTGTGCGATTACATAATGCGGCGACGACTATGCCTGGGCGACTTTTACTCACCAGGGCCGGGGTCAGAACGTTGCAGAGCTTGTCCAGCGGTGCCCGGTAGAACCGCTTGATGGGATTGTTCAGCTCCAGCTCGAGGGCGGGCACCTTGCGGGCGCCGTGATGTAGCTCCTGGTCCTTCAGCCACTGTTTTCGCCAGGCCCGTTCCTCGGGTGTCATTCCAATCAGACGCTCGCGCTCGCGCACCATGCGACCTGCAATGGCCATGGGCTTGACGCCGCCCGTGTCCGAAGCTCCGCCAGCAACCATTTTGTATAGTTTTGTTTTGCTTTAATAGCGCAAATTCGTTAAACGTAAAAACAGCAGAGCAAATCGTGAAAATATAGAGACAGTGTGACCGTTTTACCCGCAAAAAATCAACTAAAAATGGCTTAGAGCGTGAAACGAACAGCTGTTTCGACCAGTGCTGTAAAACGAGACCGATTGCTACCGCTTAGGGTTAATTATATGTATTGTTACATATTTATATCCGTATCGCTCAGAAGATAAAAATAAAGAATATTCTGCTGCTACAGCTGGCTTTAGTTAGTGGTACTGGGCTTTAAAGAATCACTTTTTTAGTATATTCTTTGCTTCTGGATTTTATTAAAAATACTAAAAGTCGATACACTATCGATGTTTTGGTCTACAAACAATCGATACAGCAACAGATCGCCTTTGAATTGAATAGCAAGTTTATTGCATTAAATTAAGCATTTATAAATGAAATGAGGCCTGAATTAACAGCTCCAACTAAGTCCTCGAGCTACGTGACTATTTGGAAAAGAACAGGTCCCAGCAAAACAAACCTGAAACTCCACGCCGAAGCTTGTTCGAGCAAAACTCACACAAGACAAGCCTCTATTGGTTTTGTATTGGTAAGCGCTCGCAAAAAAATTGCGCGGCACAAAGCCAAAACTGCCAAAACAAACAAAACAAGGCAAGAAGCGACGAGGTTTGCATACAATCTCCCAGCGAGTAGAACAGTGTCCCTAAATAGGGTTTTAAATACGGGCTACGCAAAGGAATTTCGGGAGTTTGACGGCATCTTAGAGAGAATTGAGGTTTTTGAAAGCACAACAACTTACTGTACCAAAATTAGGTCAGACTTAGACTTCTTCAAGGGGGCCGCTGCTAATAAGCACACCATAGATCAAGCGGGTCCGTTCCTAACGGACAGCAGAAACGGGGCTCTCATACTGGCAAGGAGCATTCAGGATAATTTTATTGCCTACAAAATCAGAGAAAAGATCAATCACAACCATCATCTAAAGTCGGTAGAAGTTCACTACATACCCGGCCACGCCAACATCCCTCAAAACACGTTAGTAGACACAGCAGCTAAAGAAGCCCATAGACTGGGAAAATACACGGTTGTAAAACGGAACCTCAAAGATGCAATCTGTGAAATACACAGGATATTAAAAGAAGAATGGGAGAGTTTGCCAGCGCCAAGCACAGAGGATACTCCTCGCTTTTTCCTTCTACCTCATCCAAACCATGGTTCCTAAACAAGACTAATCTGAAAGCCATTGACGCTAAAAGGATCAATTTGTGATACATGCGATACTATCGATAACGCCTCGCACATAATTTTTAATTGTACCAAGTACAATACAACAAGACTAAACTACCCATCTCTAAGAAAATATAATGACATTTACAAATTCTTTGAAAAAGAAAACATCAGCTCGTACCAAACATTAATCGACTTCATCGACAAAATTGACGTAAAACTGTAACAAGTTGTCTTCTTCGACTTGGCAATTTCCACCTTGTAAAGGCGGGCGGCCAAATAATCCCACGCTACTCAAGAGTACAGTGGTAACATAAAACCCCCCAAAAAAAAAAAAACAAAAAAAGGCGACATGAGTGAACACACAGAAGCTGCTCCCGTGAAAAAAATAAAGAGAAAAGCTGATGGGCAGAAAGCCTCTCAAACTGATAACGCACGCATTAAAAAGAAAGCCAAAGCTAGAACGTCTCGTACAACTGTTCTTGATTTAAACGAGGATTGCTTGAGAATCGTATTGAAGTATCTGGAAGTAAAAGACCAGCTAAGTCTCGCTTCCTCGAACGGTACGATTGGAGAGATTTTCAGGAGATACGCAAGCCATCGGTACAAACATATTGATAAATATGTCACGCATAATATTGCCCATGAAAATCTGAAACAACTGGTGCAGACAGTTGGCGAGCATCTGATAAGCTATGCGTCCAATACTACTTGCAGATCGAGAGTCAATCAGCACCTGTGGCTCTTGCGGAGCTACTGCTCGAATCTCCAACATTTGAAAATGGATTTTTTCCCGGGCAGGGACGGATTGAACGATTTAAACAGCTTGAAAAAGCTCAAGTCTTTGGATGCTAGTTTGTGGTGTTCCGAAGAAGAAGAATTTGACGAAGAAAACGATAAGCTGCTTACGGATTTTGTTTGCAATCTCAAGCAATTCCCGTCTCTAAGGAAGCTGACGTTGTTTGCTGACTCATATAGCGGAAGAGGATTGCATGTTCTTAATCAACTGGAATATCTGGAGGTGAATACCTTTTCTAAATTCGACGACAAGATCTTGACGGACTGCTTCCAAACGATGAAGCAATTACGCCACCTAGACATTAATTATCCTAACACCCTCACTGAAAATAATTTGGAAATGCTGGTGACGAGCTGCCAGCAGCTGGAACGTCTGGTCCTTCATATAGAGCACAGCGATTCATCGGAGCCCTATGAGCTGGTCTGCCAATTGCCCACGCTGCAGCATTTGCAGGTCGATCATGGCGGTATTTTACGTGACTCGTTAATAGAGGGGTTGATTAACAAAAAGGGTTCCCCTATGGAAAGTCTTATCCTGGGACCAGACGAGTTGCCCGTGGATCAAGTTAAACGTCTTTGCAATATTTCTACACTCAAGGAACTCGAAGTAGCCTGCAACACCGTCCCCTTGGAGGACTTACTGAAGCTGAAAAACCTTCTATACCTCCACATATCCATGCCAATTACGGATGACCAAGCATTGAACATTCTGAAGGGGCTTCCGCACCTAAAAGCTCTCAATATACTAGAGGACTCTGAGATAGACCAAGTAAACTTGGTGAATAGTGTTCGTACCTGGGTGAGCGGACAAAAGGAGCAGCGTGGGAAGATCAAAATCTATCTCAACAGGTATATAAAATATACTGATTCTTTGGTTGAATTTAAATTCGATCACTTAGAACCCATATTGATAAACAAAGAACTAATTGAACGAGATCAGAACTAGAAAATCCACAGAGTATTCGTTATTAATTTAAAAAATGCCGAATAAATGAAAATCGAATTAATGTGGCCTAATATAAGTATATACATATGTATTGTTTGTCAATATCCATCAGTTTCTACAAAGTCGAACTTTGTAGACTTTTGAAATGAAATTATTATATGCAATTATAATATTTGCAGTATAGTTTTTGGTTATAAAAATTGATAGTGGAATTATAGGCGTTTATTTCTGCATCATTTATGTGTGTTACTTGATCTTCAGTACAGTAGCATTCCATCTTCAATGAAACCGAGCTAAGACTCCAGTCATCCAGAAACTTCATCGAAGCTGTTGAACGGAAAGCCGTTAGTCGGGTCACTCCTGGAAATCGAGCCGATTACACTACACGAAAAAATTGAACTTTCTTAGGCTGTGAACCAAAATAACTTTTTCTGATAGATTTCGAGATTTAAAAAGTTTTTGTAGTACTTCATTATTTTTTTTATGGTGTCATTTTTTTTTAAGAATTTTTAAAATCTGGTATTTTTTTTCTTGGTTTTTTTTAGAGGTAGTGCTATTTTTCACATAACTTTAGTATCTTATATCTGGTTGCATAGAACTTTGCAGTTCTGAAAAGCTGACAAATGCAGCTATAAATCCGAACCAGACCTTTTGTATCTGCAGCTTAACGCCTGAAAGATATTAAGCTTTCAAATTCAAATTTCATCATTTTTTGCGGTATTTTGCGTGTTTTTCGAAAAAAAAACTTTGGGATCAATGTTGGAATAAACGAATAATCATTGTAGTTCAAACAATTGGCTACAACAGTTAAGGTGGCTCTGGTGAGATCCCTTCATTGTCGCGACAATCGCTGGGGCTCAATGGCCAGCCTGTCGACAATGTACTGGGCCATGCAGAGCGTTGGATTGGGGCTTTCAGGGTGGAATGTCTCAGCAGTGAGGGACCACCAATGCCGAATTATTATAATTAAAACAGTGCAGAAGGGTAAACGAAACGGACGAAAGGCACTTAAACCTTAAGTGGAACAGAAAAGTCAATCTGGCCCAGAAGTGATTGTGAGTCTACAATCCCCTGTAGGAGCTTGTGTACAAATATTACGCGATTACACATTCTGCGATGCCACAATGAAGGTAGGTCTGGGCTTTAGCCTAGACTGCCAAGGTGGCAAGACTCTATCAGAGTTTAAGTTAAAATTAGGTAAAGCAAAAATTAAAATTTGTTTTTAGACCAATTCGATAATGGCTTATTGCTCTTTGGTCCACACGCAAGAACAATATTCCAATATCGGACGTACAGGGACGTACAGCGTTTTAGTGACATGGCCAAAAGTTTCGGTAAAAGCATTTTTATTAAGTTTACCGTAAAATTCAGATTTCTGTTTGTTTGAACAGCTGATTGCTGCCATGCCCGTAAAGTTGCCAGACAACGGCTAGAGTTGCCGAGTACATTGTTTTGTTTGACTCGCACGATATGGAATGTTTTTTTGCTTTGAAATTATAAAAATACAGCTTTGAAAAATCAATTATTTTATATCATAAAAGGAAACAAATTAAAAACCAATTGTTTTGAAATGATAAAATCAATGAAACTGCAAATAAAACCTATTCGAATTGAATATTGAAAGGTGTCAACCCTAGCCTTAGTTCGAATTTGGTTTGTGACAATGCTAAGAAAAATGAAATCGCTCGGAATTCTGTGGCATGGCGGAAATTTTTAAGAGAAAATCCTCTGCTATTTTGATTAACCTTATTTCATAAGTAATCCAATAAATGCGAGTTCTTAAAATTGTCCAAATTGTAGAAAATTGATTCATCTATCTGATAAAATGATATTTTGAGTTGTTTAAGTCATAACTAGCTAGTAATATTAAACGGAATATCAAAATCGAGGAATATCAACGTTGAATGTTTTGAAAAAAAAAGTCGTTACTATCGTAATAGCATCGAGCTCAAATTATTATTAAAAAACCATTGAAACCTTTTACTACTATCATACTATCATGATAGTCTCAAAACCATCGATAGTAGAGGATAGCAGCAAAATATCGATAGTGCCCTCTTTGGTTTGACACCTCCAGTTCACATGTGCGATTTAAAAAACAAAAAATAATTAAATCATGGATATTGACGAGTTATTTGATTGCTTTGCCGAAGTGCCGCCGGAGAGCCTGGAGCCGCCCACGACTGGTCCCAGCAAGGCTGAGCCTGCCACAGACAAAGCCGCCAAAAAGGCGGCCAAGCGTCCGGCCGACGAAGCGTCCAATGGGGAAAAGCACGAGGAGCAGCAGCTGCAGCAGGAGGAGGAGGAGGAGGAGGAAGCCACCAAGCGCTTGAAGAAGGAGGAGGATGGTGGATCCAAGAAGAGTGAGGATGAGGAGGAAGATGTGGAGGAGGTGACCTCCTTGGATGTGGATGATTCCGGCGCTCTAGAGGTCCTGCGCACACGCATCGTCACACACCTGCTGGAGGCGCCCGAGTCGTGCACCCACGAGGTGGCTGCCCACCCCGATCAGGAGTATATTCCGCTGCAGCCGTTTGCCGGCATTCCGGCCAAGGAGTATTCCTTCGTGCTGGACCCCTTCCAGCGTCAGGCCATCCTCTGCATCGACAACTCCCAGAGCGTCCTGGTGTCGGCCCACACCTCGGCGGGCAAGACTGTGGTGGCAGAGTACGCTATCGCCAAGTCGCTGGCGGCCAAGCAGCGCGTGATCTACACGACGCCCATCAAGGCGCTGTCCAACCAGAAGTTCCGCGAGTTCACAGACGAGTTCAAGGACGTCGGCCTAGTCACGGGCGACGTGACCATCAATCCCTCGGCCTCGTGCCTCATCATGACCACGGAGATCCTCAGGAACATGCTGTACCGCGGCAGCGAGATCATGCGCGAGGTGGGCTGGGTGGTCTTCGACGAGATCCACTACATGCGCGACAAGGAGCGCGGCGTGGTCTGGGAGGAGACGCTCATCCTGCTGCCGGACAACGTGCGCTATGTCTTCCTCTCGGCCACCATCCCGAATGCCCGGCAGTTCGCCGAGTGGGTCTGCCACCTGCACAAGCAGCCCTGCCATGTCGTCTACACGGACTACCGCCCCACGCCGCTGCAGCACTACATCTTTCCCGCTGGTGGCGACGGCATCCACCTGATTGTCGACGAGAAGGGGCAGTTCAAGGAGGATAACTTCACCACAGCCATGGCGGTGCTGGCCAATGCGGGTACGTACACACACCACACATAGATTCCTCTCAGAGATTCCTCTCTACATGACTCGTGGATTTCAGGGGAGGCGGCCAAGGGCGATCAGAAGGGACGCAAGGGCGGCATCAAGGGCCACAATTCGGGACAGACGAACATCTTCAAGATCGTCAAGATGATCATGGAGCGAAACTTTGCCCCGGTGATCATTTTCTCGTTCAGCAAGAAGGACTGCGAAATCTTTGCCATGCAGATGGCCAAACTGGACTTCAACTCGACCGACGAGAAGAAGCTGGTGGACGAGGTCTTCAACAATGCTATGGACGTGCTCTCCGACGAGGATCGCCGCCTGCCGCAGGTGGAGAACGTTCTGCCGCTGCTGCGTCGAGGCATTGGCATCCATCACGGCGGGCTGCTGCCCATCCTGAAGGAGACCATTGAGATACTGTTCGGCGAGGGCCTCATCAAGGCGCTTTTTGCCACCGAAACGTTTGCCATGGGCCTGAACATGCCGGCCAGGACTGTGCTCTTCACCGCACCCCGCAAGTTCGATGGCAAGGACTTCCGCTGGATCAGCTCCGGGGAGTACATCCAGATGGCGGGTCGCGCCGGTCGTCGTGGCCTGGACGACAAGGGCATTGTCATCCTGATGATCGACGAGAAGGTCTCGCCGGCCGTGGGCCGGGACATAGTGCAGGGCAAGGCCGATCCCATCAACTCTGCCTTCCACTTGACCTACAACATGGTTCTCAACCTGCTGCGCGTGGAGGAAATAAATCCGGAGTACATGCTGGAGCGGAGCTTCTACCAGTTCCAGAACCAGGCCGCCCTGCCCAGCCTCCACGAACAGGTGCAGCAGAAGACCCTCGAGCTGAACAAGCTGAGCATCAAGGACGAGCACAACATTGCCTCCTATCACCACATCCGCGAACAGCTGGAGAGCCATGGCAAGCAGTTCCGCCAGTGGCTGACTCGACCACAGTACCTGCTGCCCTTCCTGCAGCCCGGCAGGCTGGTCAAAGTGTCGGCCGGCACACAGGAGTACGACTGGGGGATTGTCCTTAACTTCAAGAAGCAGGATCAGAGCCGCAAGAACCCCCTCAAGAGTGAGCCCAGCGTCACCATCGACGTCCTGCTGCACGTGAGCGAGGCTGCCGCCAAGTCCGGCGACACTGAGCCCTGCCAGCCCAACGAGCGCGGCTGCATGGAGGTCGTGCCGGTGGCCCACACGCTCATTACACAGATCAGCTCGATTCGGGTGTACTTCCCCAACGATTTGCGCAGCGCCGACAACCGGCGCGCCGTCCTGAAGACCATCCAGGAGGCCAAGAAGCGGTTCCCCCTGGGACCGCCCGTGCTGAATCCCATCGACGACATGAACATCAAGGATCGCGAATTTCGCGACATTGTGGATGCCATTGCCCAGTTTGAGTCGCGCCTCGAAGAGCATCCGCTGCACAATTCGGCCGAGCTGGGGCGCATCCACAAGCGCTACCAGGACAAGGTGAAGCTGCAGGCGCAGCTAACGGCCATCAAGGTGGAGCTGAAGGCCGCCCGCAGTCTGCTGCAGATGGAGGAGCTGAAGCATCGCAAGCGCGTGCTGCGCCGAATGGGCTACTGCAAGCCGGGCGATGTCATCGAGTTCAAGGGCCGCGTGGCCTGCGAGCTGAGCTCGGCGGATGAGCTGCTGATGACCGAGATGATATTTAATGGTGTGTTCAACGATCTGACTGCTCCGCAGGCGGTGGCCCTGCTCTCGTGCTTTGTCTGCGACGAGAAGTCCCAAGAGGCGCCCAAGAGCGCCACAGAGCTCTCGGGCCCGCTGCGCTCCATGCAGGATCTGGCGCGACGCATTGCCAAGGTGTCGTCCGAGTGCAAGCTGGAGCTGGACGCAGACAGCTATGTGGACAAGTTCAAGCCCTTCCTCATGGACGTGGTGCTGGCCTGGTGCAAGGGCTCCAGTTTCCTGGCCGTCTGCAAAATGACCGACATCTTCGAGGGCTCCATCATCCGCTGCATGCGTCGGCTGGAGGAGCTGTTGCGGCAGATGTGCCAGGCCTCAAAAACCATCGGAAACACGGACCTGGAGAACAAGTTCTCGGAGGGCATTCGACTGCTCAAGCGCGACATTGTCTTTGCCGCCTCGCTCTATCTATAGGCGATATAGTTTTTAGACTTCCACAATATTTCAACATACACAAATGATGTAGATAATTAATCTAATCCTAGTGTCAACCCTGCTACTAGGGGTTGTTTTTATACGCGTATTTGAATTACTTGCAGAAAAGCGAAAATAAATATTTGATTTATTTTATGCGATACATGAGAGGTCGAGAATTCGAATGATCGATGGTTGCCTAACAAGAACGAGTACATAGTATACATATATTTAAGAAAGTTGATGGAATGTGTTAATTTTCAAGTAATACGATGAGCTTTACGGCTCAAAAATTGTATTCACAATCCAAGGTATGATTGAATCCCTTTGCACGGCCTCGCATTTTTGTATCTTACTATCAAAATATTGTTATTAAAGAGCTGTGTACAGAATTTCTAGGCCTTTAATACTTTATCTTACCCTTAGGAATTAGAAACTTTCCTTGTATACCACTCTCGTGAATTTGTGTACAATTTGTGACGATAAAACCTATGGAAATGCATAAATTCTTGGGAAATTTTCCTAGTTATTTTCTTTATAAATATTAAAATGAAACAAAATAATAACATTAATTTTTGTTTGTGTTTTATTTTTTATATTTGTCCCTAAAGGCTCTTTTGTAGCGCTATTAATGCACGTAGGGCCTGGGCATACCCTCAAATGATGCATCTGTGTCCGTGGAATCCCTTCAAAGCAGTTGCGGATATGCCAGTTGTTTTTTAGCAGAACCCATAGGTTTTCAATGTTATTCAGGTCTAGGGTCTGAGTAGATCTAGGCACAGTGGATCCACGTCTGACAATAAGCAGAGATTCTGCAGCCATGGAGTATTTTGTTACCACCAGGATAAAGAAAACAACAACACAGCTGCAGATACTATAGCGAGTGCAAGTGAGTGCCTGCCACCCACGAGTACAAGTACAAGTACAAGTAAATTAATGGTATGTTATTTTATTTCAGGACAAATACAATGAAATAAAATGAACTAAACTAATATCTCTAAAACATATAAATGTAAATTATAGATTATGCTCTCGATCGTGTAATGCATCTAGATACTATATACACACAATAAACATGTACACGATGCTTATGGAAACATAAAATGATTGGACGGTTCACACTGAATTTGTATGGTCATTGGTTGGCTTATATGCGACACATAAAACATATACAAAACCTACAACTAAAACTTAATACAGATGCATAAATGTGGAAGGCACACAAAGGGGGCAGATGGGATCGCTTAAAACTATGCATGGGAATGGGGATGGAGGGGGTCCATCAAAGACAACTACAAGGAATTGAAGGCACTTTAGGTGTTGCTTTTGGACTTGGACAAATAAATGATGAACAAATACGAGTACATACATATGTGGTTACGGATATGACAGTGATATGCACAGGATTTATTGCAAATAACTTAATATTTTAATGAGTTTTAGTTGCAAATTCAGGGTGCGGGAAATTTATTTGTCCTGTATAGTTTACAATGTAATTTTAATTACTTACAGATGCCACAAAAAGGGGGTTTAAAACTCTACAAGACGAAGTTGAAATTTACTCTAATTGAATGTCAGATTTGTTCCGAGTAGATCTCATTTGATCAGCTGCACAATGTACGATTAGCTTATAGTAATTATAATTTATATAAATGAAAAGATACCCATGGGATACCCATCTTCTAGTTCTCTAGCTACCTATACTCATTGAAGTGACAGCTTGAACAGAGCCTGTCCTTACTGCTAACTAAATGTAGGTATGTACACTTACGGGCCAATTGTAAGGCTATGGAATGTCATTGATATGGATTTGTATTCGTTGGGTTATCGAACTTACACTAAAACTAAATTAAATTACTCGTTAAACAAAACCTATAACTAATCTTGAAACTGAGATCTCTAAGATCTGTTTAGAAATAAATTATAAATTATGAAAACTAAATCGAAAGGTTACACAAAAAGTTACTCAGCTCCAAGGAAGATCTGGAAAAACACCAAAATATATTTAATAAACACAAAGGGGAGTGGAAATCTATCTGTTGGACCTACTTCTTCGTCCGTTCCCTTGGTCAGCGAAAGGCTTCTTGGTTGGTTGGTTGGATGGTTCGTTCGATTTACTCCCTAAGCACATCCCGCGCTTAGAGAGCGGTTTCTTAGACGGATGTTTGGGGCACGCCCTCCACCAGCTGTGTGCGTCGGGGCTGAGCCGCCGGCTGTGAGGACAGAGTGGCCGTCGTGGTGGTGGTGCGTGCCGAGGGCACAGGAGTGGTGCTACGACTGCTGCCGGAGACGCTGGTAGGCGCTCTCTTCGTGGGCTCCGACTGCAGCTGGGGCACTGGGGTGCTGGAGAGGGGATGCAGCAGACGCTTCTCCTCGACGGGCCCCGCCTTGGCTGTCGTTCCGTTGGTCTGGGAACGGGGCGTGGCCGCACGTTCGGACTTGACCAGGCTGCCGTTGGTCTCCTTGAGGGAGATGCCCGACTTTAGGGACGCCTGACTGCCCGACTTCTGGGTGGTGGCCAGGGAGCTGGGCGAGCGCAGGGATGTGGTGTCCGTGTGCGCCTTGCTGGCCAAGGTCTTGGACGAGGGCGAGTCCCGGTACTCGTAGATGTTGTCCCTCGAGCGCATGGCATGGTGGTTGGTCACCATGTGGGCATTGTCCACGCCCCTTGGATCCGGCTCGGGCTCCAGACCCTCACCATTGATGAACACATCCTCGTCGTAGAAGCGATCCGATTGCCTAGGTATGATTGGGGATTGCCATTAGTAGTCTGGGGATAAATCGATGCTCAACCTACCGCTTGGCGTTGCGCCACATGATGCAGCAGATGACCACGAGTACGATGAGGAAGAAACAGGTGACCGACATGCTCCAGAAGGCTATTTGCAGCGGCTCCTTCGGCTCCCACCAGTACTCCGTGGTGGGCGGATATGTGGGCACCAGAACCCCGACGACAGTCGGCAAGTACTGCGTCCAGAAGGCGCACTCCGTCTGCCGGTAGTTGAGCAGAATGGACGAGTTGAAGGTGGTGTTGATGTTCAGGTAGCGAATCTCGCCCTGGTAGGCGCGCTGGAAGTGCATGCCCAGCACCTGTTGGGGCGTCGGATTGCTGCAAAGAGAAGGAAAAGCCTCTAAATGAAACGGAAATGTACCGGGGAAGGGTGCTTCTTAATTTGCTTACCCATATCTGGCAAAGTTCGAATAGGTCTGCATGAAGAAGTGGCTCATGTTGCGATCGTTGTCGGTCCACATGTTCCGCTGCAGGTGCTCCTTCTTTGGGAAGAACTCGGTGTCCATGAAGGGGGCCCCGGTGAGGAAGTAGCGTTCCGTGTCGTGCGGATACTTGCGCCACTGCGGCAGATTCAGTGCCTCCACCGTGGTGTTCAGGACATACATGAACACCGGCACCTTCTGCTCGAGCAGCAACTTGACCATCTGATCCACTGGCGCCCGGTAGTAGAGATCGCTCAGCATGTTGACGTACTGGTCCCGGATGATGGTGTTGTTGTTGGGATCCGGCCAGTACGTGTACATGTACTTGATGGCCTCGTAGACGCCGTTGGGGTTCAGGGTGTAGTTGTAGCGGAAGACGTGCTCCCGTATCTTCTGCTCGAAGAAGCGCCCGTCCAGCTCGTAGTACGGCCCCAGCGACTCGTTCTGGGCCACAAAGAAGGCCGCCTCCTGGGTGGTCACACCCGTCATGTACTGGATATTCCGATTGAATTTGCCGGAACGTATCAGAGTCTCTGGGGTCTGGGTGAGGAAGCGCCAGTCCTTCTCCCGCCAGCCCTCGTACCAGTCGTCGCCGGGCAGGGTGAAGTTGTGGTCCAGCACTGGACCCCAGGGGAAGCTGCCCACCTGCGGCGAGAACTCCGCGTTTCCCAGCTCATAGAAGCTGCGTCCGGTGCGCAGACAGTTTACCAGCTTCCACGACGACTCAATGGAGCAGCCGAGCAGCTGGCCCAGCACTCGACTCGTGTTCTGCGCCCTGTACTTGTCCTGGATGAGCGCCCAGTCTGCCAGCGCCGAGCCCGACTGAGCAATCACTCGCTTCACCATGTTCCGAGTCTGCGGGGCAACCATCAGCAGCCCTGCCGAGGCTCCACCGGCTCCCGGACCGAACAGCGTAATCGAGTCCCGATCCCCGTTGAAGAACTCGATGTTGTCGTGGATCCACCGCAGGGCCATTGCCTGATCCAGAATGCCGTAGTTGCCGGGCGAGTTCTCGTCGCCAGTCGAGAGGAAGCCCAGGGCTCCCAGTCGATAGTTCAGCGTTACCACGACCACGTCGTAGAAGGATGCCAGTATTTGGCCCTGGAACAGGTTCGAGGCGCCACGTATGAACTCTCCTCCATGGATGTAAACCATCACGGGATACTTTTGGGCCACGCCAGCGCCAGTCTGCAAAAGAAAAGAAATATTGAAGAGGCAATTGCATATATTTCTATACTCTATAAAGCGTTTTATACACGGCACTCGGTCTTCTTCGATATCTGATGGGGGCCGCAGCCCGAAAACGTTGTAAGTCGCTGCAGTGGCCGCTACTACTTTTATACCCGGTACTCAGTCAGATATATGTATGAGTGCTTTTTATCTTCGTACCTTTTTTGTTACATCTGTCAACACGCATTTTCTTACTCATTCTCCGCCAGTGGTCCCACACTGAACGAGGCAGAGTGTGTGAGCGAGAGAGAGAATGAGTACCGCTGCATGGCTGGAAGCTGGAAGCTACAGAAAAGTAATTTCTTTCTTGGATCTGATCTAGATTCGGCAATCTAGTAGATACTGTGCTCTACGATAATTTGGATGCTACAGATTTTCGTCCTTTGTGGGGGCGAAAAACGGCGGGGCTAAGTTTTAGAATACACTTTTGGTGGTGTGATATCAGGTGAGTCTGGAAACCAAACTTGGTTGCTCTAGCTCTTATAATCGCTGAGAATTAGGCGTCAAACAAGACGGACGGACGGACAGACAGACAGTGCTATATCGACAGTCAGAATATTTGTCATTAGGTGGAAAGAAGATGAAACTGAGGTCTGCGTAGAATCGTCTGAGACAGGGAGCCTCAAGTGTCACCTAGCTCCGACATCTGTTTTGTTTGTCTTGGACCAAGTGTCTTTGTATATGAGATTTACTATTATAGAAAGTGAGATTTACTGTTATAGTAATCATAGAAGCCCTTTCTGGATAAGTCTATTTAATTATTTTTTACTAAACTAACAAATCAATACGTTTAATTTGTTGTGCTCTTTCAGAGCATGTATTTCAAGTAGGACATAAAGGGGAAGCATGCCTTCTTTACCTTCTGTGTTTCGCAAAAGAGAAGGATCTATATCGAATCCACCATCGCAGGAGGAGGAGAAGGAAAGCAGGCGTAAACTGCTTCGTCGGATCTATGTTATTGTTAAAATAGGCATTCTGATTGTGCTATGGCTGTTCTTCACCATTACTCTGGCTACCTCACCGCCCGGAGAAATCCCTAAATCATTGGTGACCATATTACCCAATCAGACGATTTTCAGAAAAGTGGACCGACTGCCCAAAAACCGTGCCCACATTCGACTGGAGGGACCCATTGACGAGGACCAGACAGACGCTGCTGATCACGTGGACGATGTGGACGCTGTGGGCATTCGTGTTGAGCGTCGGGACTCGAGTCGGAACGTCACCTATGTGCAGTCCGACATGTGGAACGTTTATATGGCAAAATCAGAAAGTCATTATGTATCGGTGGACAACTATTTCAAAGTCCCCGATGATGGCCACAAAGACACCGATGTGGTCGTTTCATTCAAGAGCTACAGCGCGCAGCCGGTCTCACTTCTCATTCAGGTGGAAACCATGCCCGTGGACAAAAAAATGGGCGTGGTTTATGCGGGCCTTCTGCTCATCTTCCTTTACATCCTGATCATTTGGGAGATCACGGACCGGACATTCGCCGCCCTGATGGTATCATCGGCGACCCTCGCTGTCCTGGCCGCCATGGGGGCACGACCCTCGCTGGAGACCATCGTGTCCTGGATTGACTTCAACACTCTGATGCTGCTGCTGGGAATGATGATCATGGTGGCCATCCTGTCGGAGACGGGGGTGTTCGACTACCTGGCTGTGTTCGCCTACCGCATGGCCAGCGGCAATGCCTGGCCCCTGATATTCTTCCTGTGCATGTTCACCGGCATCTTGTCGGCGTTCCTGGACAACGTGACAATGGTGCTGCTGATGGTGCCGGTGACGATTCGGCTGTGCGAGGTGATGGCGGTGCGCACAACGCTGGTGCTGATCGTGATCGTCGTCTACTCGAACATCGGCGGCACTCTGACGCCGGTGGGGGATCCGCCCAACGTGATCATAGCCACCGATTACCATGTGGTGCAGGACGGCATTGATTTCTTCACCTTCACGTTGCACATGTTTCCCGGCGTGTTCATCTGCATGTGCTGTTCCTTTTTTATGATATATTTTATGATACGCCACAAGCTGCGGATCCTTGACGAGGACCCAATGACCCATGCCATCAAGACGCTGGAGCGGGAGGCCGAGAAGGTGACCCCCACCACCGCAGACGAGGATGCACTGCGTCAGGATATCCTGCAGCGCATCGAACACCTCAAGGCCAAGGAAAAGGCGAGGACCAGGGCCACCATGCTGGCGCCAGTGGAAAACTACTATGAGACCCTGGCCTCGCTGGAGTTGAAGTATAGGATTCGGAACAAGCCGCTCCTGATCAAGTGCTGCATTGCCCTGGGGTTCGCCATTGCCCTGTTCTTCCTCCACTCGCTGCCGATCCTGGCCGGTGCCTCGCTGGCCTGGATAGCCATGCTGGCAGCCCTTCTGCTGCTCATTCTGGCCAACAAGGAGGCCATGGATGTGATCCTCCTGCATGTGGAGTGGTCCACGCTGCTCTTCTTCGCCGCCCTCTTCGTCATGATAGAGGCCATGTCCGAGCTGGGCCTCATCCAGTGGATAGGAGACATCACAGTCGGCGTAATCCTGAGCGTGGACAAGTCCCACCAGATGACCGTTGCCCTAATGATGCTGATCTGGATCACGGCACTGACCTCCGCCTTTGTCGACAACATACCCATCACCCAGATGATGCTCAAGCTCACCGTCCAGCTGGCCAAGAACAAGAAGCTCGACCTGCCGCTGGCTCCGCTCATCTGGGCCCTGTCCTTTGGCGCCTGCTTTGGGGGCAATGGCACTCTGATCGGCGCCTCGGCGAATGTGGTCACCGCGGGACTGGCCAACCAGCATGGCTATAAGATCTCCTTCATGGGCTTCTTCGCTGTTGGCTTCCCCGTGATGATATTTACGGTGTTCATCGCCTCTTTGTATCTACTCTTTGCCCATTCCCTCTTCTCCTGGCATAAGCAATAAACCCAACGCTCACCTTTGGCGAATATACATTCAGGTACAGGCAATCCTCATCCATGTCCATGACTCCCTTGGTAGCACCCGTGTATCGAACTGGCTGGGGGCATGCCGGTCCGAAGTCCACTGCCTGGAGCAGCTGCCAGCCGCGATGGGCTCGCGGCGGCTTGAAGCGGCCCTCGAAGGTGGGCGGCAGGGCGTAGGGAATGCCCAGGAATGCCGAGCACTCGCCCATCACGCGATCCACGGTGGAGTGATAGGGTCTGTAAAACGACTTGGGGTCCGGATTGTCATACATGTAGACCTTGAAGCCCTGCACCTGTCCGTAGTTGGTCGTCACGAACACATCTCGATCCAGTGTCAGCGAGTCCCGACGCTGTTTCCCCTGCAGATCCTCCCGCCAGCCGGCCAACACACCCGGGAACTGTGTCCGAGCATTGGGATCGTTCTGTAAGAGCGCAAAACAGAGAGAGATTGAGCACATAATTTTTATCGCAGAACAGAGCGGATCATTTGTGGAAAGGGGGGGTGGGGTGTAAACATGTGTAATTGATTAAGCTCCATTCGATGGAATGAAAACTTAATTAAGATTATTGCATTGATAGGGGGGACAAGTCATCCGTGGATTGGGCGCCTACTCCACTCCCTCGCTCAATGAGTTCCCATTGTTCGTTTATGGATCGTTTCTGTTCTGTCTTATGGGGTCACTTTGTGTTGTCAACAAATTCAATTGATTAAGCGCGAGCATTTGTGTTTGTGATCAGAAAGACATCGAAATGTACGAAAATATAGCAGCGAACAGCTTACCGGATCAAAGCGAAAACGATCCTCATTTGGCATGCCCTGCGGATACTGTCCGGGGGGATTCCTGCCAGGATAGTTGGCACCAAATCCATTCGGCTGATAATGGCCATAGCGACGATCGTTGAAGGTGTAGGTTCTGCAAATATTCAGCATAAGTGGGACAAGAAATAAGGATCAAGCAAGGGGCCTGACTCACCTGTAATCCGGATCCCCTGGATTCGGCCAATGATAGTCGACGCCGGGCCGTGAATAGAATCGGGGATCTCTCGTCTGTCCCCCAACCAGTTGGGCCATGGAGGCCACAGCCAGAGCAAGAATGGCTGTGAGCCACTTCGATTTATCGCGATATTTCAGTTTGTGCATCATGGTGGACTGTAACAAGCAAATTCAAATATATTCCTCATGCTCAGCTCATTCGTATAATCTCCATCAATGTATTTTATAAACAAAACAAACAAAAACAAATCTCGGCTCGGAGTAAGAGTGACCAAACTGGTTTTCCCATTACGTCGTTTGCTTGGCTCCATTACCGCCTCCACTCTCCACTCTCAACGCTCCACGTTCCGATGTTAGAAGAAAATCGAGAGACGGAGAGACCAATAGACCAAGAGACCGTCAAACCCGTTTCAAAGGTGGATCGAAAAATGCGCTAAAAATAAGTTACAGCATACGACGCGATTTCAAATTGGAAGTCTCCAACTCCGGACAGCAATGAGCTCCAATGGAGCCGACCGACAGACCCACCGACCGACCCATTGCACTGGCAAATACGATTACGTGCATTGTCTGGGGCGTTTGGAAACGGCGTCAATGGGTTAATTGTTATGGAGTGAAGGCGAAAGGTCATTGCTTTAAATTGGTTGAAGTCGAGTGGAGAGGGCATCGGAGGGCGTAATCGGATTGTCGCCGATTGTGTGGATAATAAAAGAAGTGGAAATTCCATCAAATATTTTTTGGAATTAGAGTAAAACTCATGAAGATTATTCGTTGGGAGGTTCTGCCCCAACCAGTTAAGTTTGGTTCTCCTAAAGTAAAGTTCGATAATAGATATAAAACAGTAACAAATTTCAACGATCCTCTGTCACAGTAACCACCCCCCTTGGCTACCCAATGGATTTTTTCCAGTGCCGCTCAAAATTCAAAATCTTTTGATTAGTTTTTAAATGGAATTTAAGTTATAAGAAATATCACAAGAACAGATCGGCTTCATTCCGATGGGTTGCAAAATACACCAATTAATTGCTGCCTGGTTTTCAGAGCCTACCACACCCTCCCTTTAGGATGACAGGAAAGTGTCAAGAAACGAACCAAAATGGTAGTAAAAGCACATCCCCGACTCACTGCATTTCCTGTCTCTGTGCCTCCCTCCCTTGTGGGGGCGGTGCGTGAGGAAATGCAACTGCAACCCAAAACGAAAAGTGAGAGAACGGAGCCACCGAACCACCTGGCTGTCCGAAAACGGTTTAATTTGAATAGAATTTTGTTGGTGGCACTTGATTGGCAATGCCATGCCACATGCCGTGGCAGGCGATGTCGATGCCCCTCGGTTGCATGTAAACTGGCACAAGGACTCACACAGCTGCAGGCCACCACTGTCTCTGTGTGGTGTGTGTGTGTGCGGTGCATTAACCTGGTGGTGCACTCGTAAGATGCCTCAAGTTACGGCGCTGCTCGGTTACTCAACTCAACCCCAATGTGGAAAGAAGATTCTTATTAAATTTACGGAAGTGCAAACGCCTGCAGAAAAGTGCCCAAAGTGCCCGAGTTTTGTTTTCAATTTCAAATGAGACTTGCGGGAGTTTTCATATCGGATTTCATGTCGCAACCGATTTGTTGTTCTGTTCCCCCCGAGGTGGTTGTTATTATTGCTGCTGCCTCGTTGCTGGGTGAATCATTTGCAGTAGTTTTGCCTTTTTCGCAATCCCCCAAAGCAAACAAAACCCGTGAAACGCACCGATAACGCTGAAAGTGAAGCGCAGGTGTACGTGTGTGTGTGTGTGTGTGTGTGTGTACGTGTGTGTGTGTGTGCGTATAGAAGTTTGCATCTGTGTCTGTACGTGGCTATCACTGTGTGTGCTTGTGTGTGTTGGCCCACTGATATTGATATTGTTGTTGCTTTGGTTGTTCGCTACCTTAATCTCACTTCTCCTTACAGTTATGCTCCACTTGATGACGTTGCCGTGGAAACTTGTTGCTGGCTGCTGGTCCGCGATTGTTTTCACTATCTAATCGCGATTTTCATGCACTTCCATCCGAATGTTTTACACACAAAAAAGACAAAACCACAAAAACTTTCATAGCCAACGCCCCGAACGGGGGGGAAATCAAGTCAAAAAGTATTGCTCAAAACTACAGCCAAACAGAAACAAGAAAAAAAAACGTAACGCAGCCCGCAGCCGAAATGACCGTTTTGAGTCTGAGATACTTCCACTCGGCGGTAGTCCAGGTAGCCAGAGCCAGCCAAACGTAATGCCGTCAAAACGAGCCAAGAAGCAGTCTCACTCTCTCACACACACACCAACACAACACAACACAACACAACACACACACGTCGCACCTCTGACGTTGCGGCTTTGTTAACACTCACACACACACACACACACAACGCTTGAGCTTGCTGTTACCAACAATTCGGTTGACTCACACGAACGACACACCACCTGAGTGCGATGGAGGAGGTACTACGGAACGCGCGCAGCTTGGACTAGCAACCATCGACCGCTCTCCCATTCAAATTTCGAATGAATCCGCGCCACGAACCTGCACCCACGAACACCTTAGTTGTTGAATTGACTTCAATTCTTGTTAAGTTTTCAAAAGTTTCAAAAGTTACTTTCAACTAAACTCGCGCGCGCAACACAACCGCGCAGTCTGAAAAGTTTTAATAATTATTTCAGCCCGATACCATCACGATAGTATCGATTGTTTTTTCAAAACATTCGACGTTGATATTCCTCGATTTTGATATTCCGTTTAATATTACCAGCTAGCTGGGACTCTCAGCCCTAAACAAATAATTTTATCCGATAGATACATAAATTTTGTTCAGGATTGGTTAGTTTTTAGAACTCTTTTTCATTGGATTGTTTACATATTAAGGTTCAAACAAAAACGGCCAAAGCATAAAACTTAAATGTTGACTAAATGTTACGGCAGTGTTGCTGGTCAACCAAGTATCTTCTATGCGTATGTACTTTTGTATACCTTATTTCTTTTAATTGGTGTTAAGTGTTTTGTTCCAAGCTCCATTGAAACATTATTTATGATTTTATCCTAGATTGACATGTTTTTTACATATTAATGCACATGTTTGTGTGTTATAAATACATTTATCCCGGTACTGATACCTATTATTGGTAGTCGTGAGCTGCAAAACTTTGTTAAAATCTTTAGAACAGAGACTGAGTAGTTTCTGCATTAATTGGAGCCTGAAAATACAAACAATATCTCAAGTCCATAATATCCATTTTCCCAAGGTATTCAGATTGTTGCTCATTCCGTGCCAAAGTTGCACAACAATGTTGCTAATTCATTTCCCCATGTTGCTGAAATTGCATATTATGGCCGCCCTACCTGACATTGTCATACCATGCGATCACATCCACCAGCATGTTCATAGCCGGGAAATTTGAATTTGAATTAATTAATTTGATTATTTTACTGAAAACCTAATTAGCCATACTTTTACCTTTACTTTACCTTTAAATCGAATAATATACCTTTAAACTTGTATTGGGCTACGTTAGATACTGTTCGGGCACGCAATTTATAATTTGGAGAGAAAATTCGTCATTTCAATTTTGGAGAATGACAAGAATGACAAAAATGGGGGTGCTCATAGAAATGCGAAATAGTTTTTGATGCTTGGTCACAATTCGGTACCAAACAAACGCTAATATCTGTGGCTCATTAAACAACAGCTCTGGACACAGCTCTGCTATCAGTTCATTCATTGCGTTCAAAAGGTTTTCTTCATGTTAATTGCAGGTCTCCATATTGAGGGCAGTCGACATGGCTCGTCCGGATTGCTCATTACGATCGCCGTTTCCTGTAATGAGAGATTTTTGCATGACAAAACGTAATTGTATTTTGCATAATTTCTAATCAATTTCTATTATACGTACACACAAGCATTTTCGAATCAGTGACGTTGCATCGTGATTCATCTGTCTCGAGTCCGAGTACCGACAATTGCTGGCAGACAATTAAAGATCAGTTCACATTTTGACCCCAACTTATTGAGTGGAAGATGCGGTCGGCCGGTCTGCTGTTGGGCGTAGCTGCTAATTGTAATTATAACCGAAGAAGACGGAGACGACGGAGACGACGGCGACAGCGATGCTTCCGATGTCAGAGATGCGGGAAGCAATTAAAGCACTTGATGATGGACACGCTTTGTTTACAATTTTGACCCTTTCATTATTAATGAAGTGCTTAAGTCAATTATGCTTCAAATACAAGTATGTAATTGGATAAGTATCAGTTGCAACAATCCATTTTTCCTGCAGCTTATTTTAGAAGGTTTCTTTTGGCTATTAGACGCAGCCCGTCTAAAACTTTTAATATATTATCAAATTGTACATTTTTCAAGCCAGTACAGTTAGCCAAAATAATCAAAAATGGATTTAAATTATTGCGCCAACTTAACGATACTTATCGCTTTACCTGCCATCGAGTATTATTTTCTTATTATTATCAATGAAGTGGTATCGACCATCTCTAGCCGTTTGGTATTCGGTATTTTCAGAAAATAATTTTGTGCGGTACATTTAGCCGACAAGCCCGCGGTCACACTGTCGATCAGCTGGTGTCGTGTTAAAATTTCTTTCAAAAAATACAAAAATCCACAAAAAGGTTTTTTACGAGAAAATACATATTGATCGGTAGCAAAACAAGTGTTGACTGGAAGCAAAAGTGTAACACAGCCGGAGAGCAATGGAGCCGCCATCGACGGGCGGTGTTTCAGCCGCTGGCAACAATACTACACACAAATTTCATCCGTGCGACGAGGCGGTGATAGCCACCAATGACGATGCAAGCGATTGCAAGCGTTGTGCCGTCCGCATGGGCTACTGGAAGGACGACTACATTGGGTACTTTGTGCGGAACCAGGAGCGGAAGGCCCCAGAGATAAACCGTGGCTACTTTGCCCGCGTCAAGGGCGTCGAGATGTGCGTGGAGAAGTTCCTGAAGGTCAGTCTTTGGCTGCACTTGCATGCAGCATAGTATAAGGCCTTAACTAACTGCAGCTATAAATAACTTGACATGCGCAGGGGTGTGGTATGGGTCTGTTCCACGGCGCCCAACTGTCTGGCGCATGTTAAGGTCAAGTGCCATGGCGATTCCGCATCCTGTTGCACGTCCGTGAGGGCCAGAAGAGCTGCGCATGTCCATGTCCCATGTGCCCCTGCTGTCCATGCTGTTCACGCCCCGACCTGACTGTTGGCCTTGCACTCAACATCCCAGTTTATTGCAGAAAACCTCTGGAAACTGCCAGATAATCAATCTGGGCTGTGGCTTCGACACACTCTACTTTCGGCTGAGGGACACGGCGCACCAGGTGAAGAACTTCATCGAGCTTGACTTTCCCACGGTCACGGCGCGCAAATGCTACACAATCAAACGCAACAAGGCCCTGCTGGCCAAGATTCACGACGAGGACGGCGAGGTGCGTCTCAGTCCCACCGATTTGCATGGCCCCAGCTACCACCTAATGGGCGTAGATCTGCGCAACCTCGACGAGGTCGACAACAAGCTGCAGCAGGCCGAGGTGGACTACACGCTACCCACCATTTTCCTGGCCGAGTGTGTTCTGGTCTACATTGAGGCCCAGAACTGTCGCAATCTCCTCAAGTGGATAGCACAAAAGTTCCAGGCCGCCGTCTTTGTCAACTACGAGCAGGTGAGCCCACATTCGCCCAGAAAAATCCAAGGGTAGCCAAGATGACTGCTTATATAACATGTGATTTACCGCAGGTCAATATGAACGATCGCTTTGGCGATGTGATGCTCAACAATCTGCGTAGTCGCGGCTGCAGTCTGGCCGGTGTCGAGTCATGCCTGTCGCTGGAGACTCAAAACCAGCGGTTCACAGACTGCGGCTGGAGCGGTGCTCGTGCCTGGGACATGGTGCAGGTGTACGAGAGCATATCTTCGGCAGAGCGGCAGCGCATCGAGCGCCTGGAAATGCTCGACGAGGGCGAGCTCCTGCTGCAGCTCTTCCAGCACTACTGCCTTGTGGTGGCCTGGCTGGGCGTGGCCTTCCAGGACTTAGATATCACGTGCGTGCAAGTGTAAAAATTCGTATCTAATATGAAGCTTTTACCGACTGCCTCCTGCCTACAAAATCAGACAGCTAATCTGTATTCATTTTTTCTTGATTGCCACAGGGTGGAGGAGCTCATGTCCTCGCTGAACATTGACTAATGGAAAGTGGAAAGGGCGAGGAGGAGCGACCATCTGGGATGAATTACCTATTGCCTGTGTGTATGGCGTCTCTGCTTGCTGGCCCAACGGTGGTGCAGCCATGCCAAAAGTTTTTTTCCTCTTAATGTGTTATTGCAAAACGAAATCGAAACTTGTGCTCGTATTTAAATATTCATCACCAAACCACCCAAACACGCACTCACCCACACACACACACACACACGTGCATGTGCATTGTTTACCTATTTTTAAATTCTCGATTGTTCCTTAAGCATTTTGCGCGCTTGTTAAATTATTTGTACTCCAATCATTTGGCTCTTTTTGAATTGGTCCTCGAGATAAGTACATACCAATACCATAACTATAAATGCACATAATTATCTGCTCATTCCCCCACCACCCACCACCATTCTGTGTGCGTTTGTGAAGCGTAAATGTATTTTGAAATTAATTAAACTAAATATAATTGGGAAACCGAATAAGAAACAATTTTCAATGGAGTTCTGTATCCGGAGACGGCGCCTGATCTTCCTGCCAGTCATCGATGGTATAATACGCCTTGAGGCTCAGTTCATCGTCCAGAGTGGGCTCGCCCAGCACCAAGGGACCCAGCTGTCTGCCATCTATGATGTCCTTCCAGAACTCCTTCAGTCTCTTCGCCAGCGCGATCTTCTTCAGGTCCTCCGTAAACTTATCGTACTCCAGGAACGCATTAAAATCGAGACAGCTCTGCCGGTACAGCGAAATGAGCTCGCCCAGCTGCTCCAGGTTGAGCTTTTTCCGCTCGAGAAGAGTGACGATAACCACACGGACTTGGGCGGCCAGCGCCTGGAACTGGGCATCTCTCCGGGTGACGTTGCTAATGGAGCGGACGCTCGACAGGATGCGAGTGTAGTCCTGGGCGGGTGTGACCAAGCCCACGCCGTCCGCTGGAATGGGAATTTCATTCTCTTGGGGCTCGGCCTTGACGGGCAGAGCATTCTCGGCCTGCTCCTTGGCCTGGAGCTTTTCCAGCCAGGCTCTGCTGTGCTTCAGTGGGAAGAGCTTCTTCACGGTGGCTGCTGCTTGCTTTGATTTCTCTTCGAGCGGCTCGGGGACACTCCAGAAGACGTCGACAAAGTTCTTGTCCTTCAGCATTTCTTTGAACTGCTCATCGTCCTGCCGCTCCTTGATCACCCTTCGCTCCAGGACATCCATCACGTTCTGCTCGAAGATGCTTGGCAGACTGTCAAATGGCATCAGATCGTTCCGACGCCACTTTCGCGGCTGCTGGGTTTCGCTGAGGCTGCACTCCAGGTTGGTGCTGTCGATCAGCTTGTCGATGGCCTCTAGTTGCTCATCGCTACACTCCGACTTGGCAGTGCGCAACGATGGAAAGTCCCAGAAGTGATGCTGCGACGTGTAGGAGAGCTCCAGCATGTAGAGCGTGGCCGGATGGGTGTCGTCCGGCACTTTCGGCAGCAGAATCACCATTTTGGGGGTGTTCAACTTGGGGCTGTAGATCTTCCAGCAGAGCATCGCATGGTTGCTGCTGCGCAAAGCCCTCACCAGGGCATCCAGTTTGTTGGCCGACGCTGTGCTTCCCTTTTGGTGGGCCAGCAGGTACAGCGAATCCCCAGCGAAGTACTCATCCGGCACCGAGTCCCGCTTGATGAATGCGAAGAAGTGCAGACCTGGCGGATGCGGCGCTTTCGGCTCGAGTAGCGAATCATCATAGGGCACAGCTGTGCCGCCCAGCATGTAGCCGGTCATAAGGTCCTCGGGCTGGGGCGTCACCTCAGCACCTTTGATGAAATGGTGCGTTTCACGCGACACCGTCTCATCGGACACGGCCCAGACCCGCTCCAGCTTGACGGGCGTTTGGTTCTTCATAGCAATCATCCCCTGCACGTTGATGATGATATTGCTGCCGATGTACAGCTTGGCGTTCCACGACCATGGCCGTCTGTTCGTCACCTTGAAGACCGATTGCAGAGTCTCCTTGAAGCTGCAGAGCGTCGCATTGCACCGGGGAACGAGACTCAGGGCATACTTCTGGTTCTCCAACTCCTCGGGAGTGCACTTTCGCGAGAAATTGAAAATGGCCTGAGGGTCTTGGCTCTCTGCATTGTCTATATAAGCAATGTTGTGGGATCTATGGAAAATTTGGAGTTTATTATGGCGAAATGTGGAGTGGACAACCGGAAAGTGTTCTCACCCAACAATTAATTCGATGCCAGAGTTCAGCAGCTCGTCGGTGATTGAATTGAATTCGCAGTAGTTCTGTGGCATTGAATTGAAGTCAAAGAGCAGAAGTATGCGCTGTCTGGCGGGCTTTAACCTATCAGAAATCGGGGTTAGATGAGTGGGAACCAGAGAGGGAAGGCAGTCCAACTCACAACTGGGCAGTTTCCTGCATGGCTAGGGCCACCTTTATTCCGTCCAGCCACTCGCCCTGCTCGCAGGCCGTTTCGTTCACAAATCTAAAGAGATCCAGCAACAGTTGCCAGCTGCAGAGCTGCACCTCACCCTCCTTGAAGTACATCACATTCTGGCAGTCGCTATTATTATTATCGCGGTCACTGCCCACCAGTACAAAGGATACATAGTCCTTACTGCTGCACACGATCTGTAAGAGATAATGATTGACGTTCAACCTAAATTCAAGAGGTAAACCCGATGATGGCACACACCTTATCCTTGAGTATTTCGGACACACATTTCACAGACTTCAGTTTAAACTCCTCGGCAGCGCAGCTCCGTATGTCCAGTACAATAACCAGGCATTCCTAGGGGACAAGTGCAATGAAATAAGACAAAACACGGGGTCCAAGCTTAATATATACCTTGTTAGTTGCCATTATTTTGGTTTTTTTTTTTTACAGAAATTCGGAACTCTTCAAAGGCGCAATTTCACAACAGTCTGACCGCGGATAAAATATACGGTCTGACCCTCAGAAATATACCGTAATATACAACAAATATTGATTAAATATACCATATTCTTTTCCTAATATCATATTCATTTCCGCCTCATTTCCTTGATTTTGAAATTCGGTTTAAATTTACTAGCCAGCTAGGATTTGCCGCACTTAGTATATAATTTTATCCAAAAGATGAATCAATTTTCTACAAGATTGCCATTTGTTTTCCGTGTATTTATATTGGTATTATCTGTTTCTTGATTTCATTGCAAATAATACGAGTACCCTACTGTCACTATCGATGTATTAATTTCCAAGTAATCAATAGAGCAACAGATTGATTGACCGCCTTTGAATTTAACTATGAAATACAGCCAAAAACAGCAGCCTCAACTAAGCCCTCGAGCTACGTAACTATTTGGAAATGAATAGGTCTCAGAAAAACAACCTGAAACTCCACTCCGAAGCTTGTTCGAGTATTGGTAAGCAATCGCAACAAATTGCGCTGCACAAATCTCAGATTTCCTTCGAAACTAAAAACTGATAACACATGCATTGAAAAGGAAGCCAAAGTGGAGACATCTCGCGCAACTATTTTTGTTATAATCGAGGATTGCTGGAAAATTGTTTTGATTATCTGGAAGTAAAAGACCAGCTAAGTCTCGCCTTCTCGAGCCTGTGGATTGGAGGTATTTTCAAGAGATACGCAAGCCATCGGTACAAACATATTGATGCATGTACTCATCGTTTTGGCGACGGACATATAGAACAACTGTTCCAGATCGTTGGCGACAATATGGTCAGCTATAAGTCTGATTTGAATAGTTCGAAAGGAAATCAGCACCTGTTGCTCTTGCGGAGCTACTGCTCGAATCTCCAACATTTGAAAATGAATTTTTTTTCGGACAGGGACGGTGGATGATTTAAGCAGCTTGAAAAAGCTCAAGTCTTTGGATGCTAGGGTGTGGCTTTCCGAAGAAGAATTTAACGAAGAAACCGATAAGCAGTTTACGGATTTTGTTTGCAATATCGAGCAATTCTCGTCTCTAAGGAAGCTGACGTTGTTCGCTGCTCCATATAGCGGAAAAAGATTGCATGTTCTTGATCAAATGGAATCCCTGGATGTTTCTACAGTCTGGCATTTAGCGTAAAGCTCCTCGACTCAACGGTGCCCTACGAGATGGTCTGCCAGTTGCCCAGACTACAACATTTAAAAGTGTGGTATGGCGGTTCATTACGGGACTCGTTAATCGATGGGTTTATCAACAAACCCATTTCTCCTCTTGAAAGTCTTATCATAAACGACAATTTGTTGGAGGCACAAGTTAAGCATATCTGCAATATTTCTACACTTAAGGAACTCAAAGTAAGCTGCGAAACCTTCCCCGTGTCGGATTTACTGAAGCTGAAAAACATTATCTACCTCCACATATCATCTTCCAGCATTACGCCTGATCAACTTCTGGTCCTCCTGAAAGGACTCCCGAGCTTAAAAATCATCAATGCGGTTTCCGTAAGACAGATAGTGTAAAATTAGTAAATAGTGTTCGTACCTGGGTGAGCGAGCAAAGAGACAATATTTTGTATGCTAATCCTTTGGTTGAAATCATAGAGGATTATTTAGATGCCATATTAATAAACAAGGAACTCGGTGAACGAGATCAGAACTAGCAAATTCACCGATATTTCCTGAACGTATCATAAAACTTGAATTAAATGTCTTTAATGAATGAAAATGATATTAATTTTGTATAATATGTACTCTCACATATATGTTATATTCTTAGTCAACATCCCTCCATCCCGACGACTTTGCAGTATGAATAATGAAATTTTTCTAGACTTTTTAAATTATATTATAGGTACTCGCAGCTGGGACTCCCTTGTCTTATGGTGAAATAAGTAATATTTGAAACTTCGGTTTAGTTTTTTTTTTGTATTTTGGACATTTTCAAAATTCAACCCCCAGTGTGTAATTTATGTTGTGAGCTATAGTATTTTCTTTTCGTAGTGCTGCAGCTGTTCCAGATAATTTGCGTTTTGATTTAAATGATTGAACATTAGATTTGTATCGAGAACATTACAGGCTGGACCCCCATATTCCGCCGGCAGGCAGTCGTAGCCTACCATGTCCCGCAACTTGCTAAGATTTTTTCCATCGTGGGTGAAGATCTGCAAGTCAACAGATTAATGGTATGCCTAGTACAAACATTTGGAATTGTCAAACTGACCCTTTCCTTGAATTCCTTGTTCATAAATGGCATGAACAGGGTGGAGGTGACATGCATGAGGAAGCCGCGCTGCACGATGTGGACAATGCGTTGGGTAAAGGGCAGAACGCCGTTCTTCTCGTTCACTACCTTCATAAATGCTGGCGAAAACTGTCGCAGAAAGTTCCGAGTGGTGCTAGGCAATGGCAAAAAATCGTCGAGCAGTGTCAAGCAGGAAAAGAATTAGCTATTCTGAAGTTCCTAACATACCCTTGGAGATCGCAAATAACAGTTATGCCATTCTCCTGGACACGCGGCAGCATCAGCAGCGACTCAAAGATGAGATCGTCCATTTCTATGAGACTCTGCAGATAGTCTGGGAACTGCTGAAAAGCATCCACGGTCTTCAATATTACCAGGACCCGTCCATTCTTATCCGCATGGGGCATCACGAAGCGACAGTGCGTACCGTAGAATATCTTGCGATAGTACTCGATCGGGTGTCTGGCCACCCAGCTGGGATGCTTGTGCTTGAAGTCGTAGTAGGCATGGATCGCCTGGTAGGCTTTGATCGTCTCCCAGTGTGTGTAGTGCAGGAATTTTGTTAGAAATACGTCATCTGTTCCCACCTGGAGCTCCTCGGACTCTGCCATTGAATTGAAAACGAATAATCCGTGAATGGTGGTCTACGGTCATTTGGGATGCTTACTTTCCACCAGCTGCTTGAGTTGCTTGATTTTGAAGATCTGCTCGGCCGTATACTCGACGCGGGAGCGTTGAAACAGCATTTTGTCGGGTTAAAGTTTGAAAACGTCCAAAAGTTTTTATTTGAATTTTATTTTGATAACTTTTAAACAGCAAAAGTTTCAGCGTTCTCTCTGTAGTTAAATCCAATACAATACAATCTAATTCGATTCCATCCAATCCGCTGACAATCCGCACCCATAGAGCGCTCGGTGCGCACTGACGGCCTGGGCCAAAATATCAATAACATCTCGTTATGGCGTAGATTGCTTATTAGTTTTATAACTGCCCGCACGAGCCTAAATTGTTAATGGCCTCCCGCACTTGGGAAGACATTAAATTGGTAAACTTGAACTTGGTTGCTACCTTTGTCAATAATCAATATTAAATTTGAATTCACTTTTTAAATTTTGAACACACGCAATAAAGATATACATAAACTTGATTTACCTCTTCATCCGAATCAATAAAGCGCTGTATATACATCTTTAGTACACAACTCTTACTTTATCAATCATCAATCTTAAACGAGCATATTTTACACGGATCATTCTAGCCGAAAGGGTGTTGGTAGAGGGTGCTTTGGAAAAACTCGGATATATGTAATATCGTGATTATTCCTGTTGATGAAATCTTATTAATGTCCATAGCACTATTAAAATTTAAATAAAGCCTATAAGTTTAATATTAAAATATCTACTTTAAATATATATGCTAAATATGTATAGGTAATATATTTATTTTAAATTGTTCGTTGAGTTACTGATCTTCTTCAGTAGCTTAGATTAATCGCAAAATATTTGTAAAAAACTAACTGATGATTTCGATGATCGAATTGAAGTAAAAGTGCAATGCAGACGAGCCTCCCGCTGGCTTCTCCTCAGTTGACGAATAATGACATGATAAGTAAGAGCGTAGGCAGATTCAATGTTAAAGAGTACGTTAACTGCCGTACGCTAGAAAAGAGTTAGATTGAGTTCAGTCTTAAGAGATAGTTAGCTTGTGGTGTTTTATATTTAAATTACATATGGGCCGTATTAAAAACTCTTTTTACATTTAAATCAGTATTTCATTATGTTTGTACTTAAAACCCGAATACTCCATTTAAATATGGGTATACTTCTTTACAATATTCAATTTTTCTCTGAGTGTATGTAGTGCATCTACTATTGATTTACGAAAATAATTGTTCATGAAAGCAAAAGTCTAAATTCTAAGAAATGATTGGACTAAGTGGATAAACGGGCGTGTGACGAGTGTGTAAATATTATGAAACGGCTACCTACCCATATTTTGTGTGTAGTCTTTGCGCTCGCAGCATACCATATTTAAAGTATGGGAAACTGGGTAGGTAGCGTGATGAGAATGCCATTAGATATACTCTAATGAATCGAATAAAATAAAAACTAGATGAATGCTACTCCAATTATTATACGAGTATGTACATCTGAAAAACTTTGCTCCGAACACCCTTAAAGTTACATCAGTCTCATCAAGTTGACTTGGCCACGTATCCAAGCCACAACTCATTTAACCCGCCAGACAGACTGTAGATGCGGCCAGCGGGAAATAGTAGGAAAGTAGGAAAAGTAGTCAACAGAACGCGAAAGGAAACTATAAGTACGATAATTGAAGAAAATGTCAGCTACACACGATGCTACGTGACTTAATAATGCCCCTTGTCTGTTCATAATAACGGTCCCAACGTGTTCTGCACGGCTCTCCGCTGTGACCCACAATTTGTGGGAAGATGTTCAGTTTTTTCTGTGCTTTTGGTGATTTTCCATTTCATTTCATTAAGGTTTATTGATCGGCTCAGAAAGTTGAGCGCCCCGCGTCTTGCTCTAGAGAAAACTATTAAGTTTTTAATTAGTAAAATGTGGAATTGAGGAAAAGAGATGGACAGACGACGCTCAATGACAGCTGCCATATGAGCTTCGCAATGGACAGGCGTGACTGCACTTGAAATGTGCAAATTAACATTGCTCTATGCATATCAAATGAATAATTTTCGATTTTTTGATTTCGTTGTGATGGCATTGTAAATGGTAAAAATCTAAAAATAAACCCCCCGAGTTGTTTACAATTTTTATTTTCGTTGTGTAATTATGTTAGATTAAAAAAAAAGTCAATAAATATTAGTAGTTCCTAAAATGGC